CCATCATGAGGATGTCCTCCTGTTTGCGGCGCTCATGGTCCATGAGCTTGGGCATAACTTGGGTATTCAGCACGACCACTCGGCCTGCGTTTGTGAGGACAGGCCCTTTGGCCTCATGCACGAGAATATCAGTAAAGAAGGTGGCTTCAGCAACTGCAGCTCTGACTACTTCTACCAGTTCCTCCGGGAGCACAAAGGGGACTGCCTGTTTAACAACCCTCGGCACGGGGGCCGCTGGCGTCGGGATTCCTACTGTGGAAATGGGGTGGTGGAAGATACTGAGCAATGTGACTGTGGTTCTGCATGTTATACTGACCCGTGCTGTGACAACACGTGTAGGCTGAAGGGGAATGCAAACTGCAGTGACGGACTTTGCTGTTTTAACTGCCAACTGAGATACGAGGGATTCCTATGCCGTCCTACTGTGGGAGAGTGTGACCTCCCTGAGTATTGTGATGGCTCCTCTAGAGAATGCCCCACAGACAGCTACAAGCAAGATGGCACGCCGTGTAACAGAATTCACTATTGCGCTGTGGGTCGCTGTAAGAACCCTGATAACCAATGCATGGATATATATGGGTCCCCTGCAAGGTCTGCTCCAGAAGCCTGTTATATTTTAATAAACAGCAGAGGGGACCGGTTTGGAAACTGTGGCCGTCCCACTTCTGCAACGTCAAGATATGTGAAATGTTTTGATGATAATACATTTTGTGGGAAAATTATATGCACAAACATTAAACAGATACCATCAATCAAACCCCATCACACACTGATCCAGATTCCTTATGAAGATGACTACTGCTGGATCATGGATGCCTTTAACACTACTGATGTCCCTGATGATGGAGATACGCACACTGGCACTCTTTGTGCCCCCACCAAAGTCTGCATGAATAGTTCCTGCACTGATTATGCCGTGCTCAACTATGACTGCAAACCAGAAGAAATGTGTAATGGGAAAGGAGTATGCAACAATTTAAGGCACTGCCATTGTGACTATGGCTATGCGCCCCCTGACTGCATATCTCCAGGTAATGGGGGCAGTGTGGACAGTGGTCCCCCTGGCAAAACAACTGATGAAAATGAAAGTGCAGGTGGAAGTGGCATTCCTGCTAAACGTGACGATGAAGCTCCACAGTTGAACGTTTTGATTTTCATATTCCCTTCCATTCTTTTACTAATTTTGGTGATAATAATATTTTTCATTAGCCTCAATGCAGGAATTGAGTCAGTAGCGCCCCCAGGGGGCTCCTCAGAGGAGAGTTCAGAAGAAGCCATTGCAAAGTCAGAGACTCTCCTACCAACGGAATCAGAAATGGAAGCAGCGGTCACAGAGGGGGTCCTACCAGAAGGTGCCCCATCACTGGAGGGGGCCCCACCACTGGAGGGGGCCCCATCACTGGAGGGGGCCCCACCACTGGAGGGGGCCCCACCACTGGAGGGGGCCCCATCACTGGAGGCGGCTACACTATTGGAATATGCCCCATCATCAGTGGGGATCCTATCAACGACGGCATCTCCACCACCAGAAAAGGCCCCAGCAGAGCCTGCATCATAAGAGGTAGCAGGTGAAAGACAGGTATAACTAAAGGCAGAAGAGTAGTGGAGGAAGAACCCAAATAATATCAAATACCTCAAGCATTGAGTGGAAATGTGAAGTGAGAATTGATGGCTCCAGAGTCTCTCACAGGACTATACATACAGTCTACGCATTATTTTAGTAATTGATTATATATTCATATGAAATCGTACATAACATATTCTATATTTTTGCTTTTTCCCATTTCATGAAATAATTTATTTAAGCCTTTCTCATGGATCATTGCTATCAATGTCTTTGTTTCATGTAGGCCAGTTTTTGACTGGAAATTATTTTTCAGAGCATACCATCTTCCATCTTGTTTGACATAATGTATTATCTGTACCTATATTACTGTTGCTGATTATTAACCCCAGTGCCACAACACATTATTTTAAGAACAATATCTATCGGGTAATTTGCCCTAAAAGTTTCTATTCATGAAATAGAGGTAACTTAAAATAAATAAATTAATTAAACGGTTATTTTCAGATGAAGCATCACTTCAGACTCCATGCAGCCTCGTACATGGGGTTTCTTATTTTGGGAGTCTCTGGAAAGGTTACATGTGATATAATTCATGGCGCTCTGATCACCCTGGGTCTGGGAGCATGATGCAAGAGTACACAATCCAGGCAAGACCTGAGTTCACATTAGAGGTCTTATTTATGTCCCATGTTTTTTTGTCTTAAATTCTTCTACATTGTAGTTGATTATTTTGTCTACTGACAATTCATAGGATTTTCTCAAATATAGGTAACAATACTTTGATATGGTAGTTATTTGTCAAGAGAGCACAAACTGGGTGCAATTAAATTACCCATTGTGCAAGACACTGTGCTTTCTGTTGGTTATATAAACACTTTCTATTGGTTATCTTAATTTTATCCTCCCATTCATGCTATGCAACCTCCATCTTGTACACGAGGAAAGAGAGACCAGAGTTTTGCTCTAGAGCTAGTAAGTGGCAGAACCTATATCCCACTCCAGGTATCACTGAATCTATGTTTTCCACTGCCTCCTGAGCCTTTTCCTTCAGTAAAAAAGTAAGTGACCGGGAAGAGTAATGATATATCCTTACTTGCACAGAACATGGCTTCTTCCTTGGTGACTAATGAAACAAAAGCCTTACAAATAGATGCCGATCTCTGTCATGACCCATTTCACTGCTCAGTCATCGGTGCAAGTGTCGTCTTCCCCATTACATTCTGACATCCCAGAGTGGTAGGTTTGTATCTTACTCAGTTCTGAGGGCCCAGCTCATTGAGGAGCTCAGGAAATGTTGCCCAAGTGAAGGATTTAACCAGGGCCAGCCTTAAGATAGGAGGGTGTCTTCTATGGATGCCACTTGCAAGGCCCTAGGTGTGGCACAACCAAAACCTTGTTTAGGTGCAGTGTTGCTACAGGTTGAGTGTTCTGAGTCTCAGGAAAGTTACTGAGCATCAGTCCTTGACAACACGTGCTGAGTTCCTCTTCTAACTGTCTACCCTATGTGAGCAGAAAAAGCAAACAAAAGAGTAAAACCTAGTTTCTGCTCTCAAGAAACTTATGTTCATTACTTTTGGTGGGACAAAAGTAAACTTCAGAGCAAAATCCAAAGTGAAGCCTTCAGGCCTTCATTTATGTATAGTTTCCAGTTCACGAGACCTGCTGGTAACCAAATCTCAGAATGTTGTAAGCCAGAAGATCAAGATTCATGGTGAAAACACACTATTAGTTGGTCGTCACCTGAGAGCTTTAAATATTTCTGAAGTAGGGAAAAGTTTTAATAGATTCCAATTCCACTTTTGTTTAATAAATAATTTTATTAAATTATTAATTTAATAAAATTATGGAAGTCTCACATGAGTTTATGCTGGAATGAAATATAGCATAGGAAGGTCTTACAGTAGATCAATTTGTATGACGTGACAAAGCCACGGTGACTCTTCTCACAGTAAATATTTTTGAAATTGTTTAAGAAGAAAACATGAGAGGTGGAATCATGACTGACTAAGACAGCGGTTCTCAACCTGTGGGTCGTGACCCCTTTGGGGGTCGAACGACCCTTTCACAGGGGTCGCTGGGTACTCGTATGTGGGCGTATCTGTATGTGGGCCTGGAGATGGATAGAGGAGTGGTATCTCAGTTCCTAAGACCATCGAAAATATGTGTTTTCCAATGGTCTTAGGCGACCCCTGTGAAAAGTTGAGAACGGCTGGACTCAGTGTTTGCAGCCTCATGCCTGTTTCAGTGCTGTAATCTAACTGGGCTCTGTAATGTCCTTACTAAGAGTCCCCAGACACTGATTTTTGTCCCCACGGTCTGGAGTTCAGGAACTTCCATTGCTCCCCCAATTACCTAGAGTAGAAAATGTAAACTTGCTGTGACGCTCAAAGACTGACAATTGCCTCCTCCTGTCCATTGCCAACCGTTCTCCCATGACTTTTGAAAACAAGCCTTTCCTTGTATCAGGATGTCTAACAGGAAAAACCTCTGTCCTCATTACCCACCACATCCTCTTACCATGCTAGGCTTTCATCCCAGTCCTGTTTCCACTGAACTATCTTACTGTTCCAGATGCCTATTTAGTTCAACTCGCACAGCTCCCATGAAGCTCTTCAAAGTGCTCCAGCACACCTTTCATACTCTTCTGAATGCAACATGGGCACTCTTTGAGGATACTCATGGAAAGAACCTATAGGGGAGTCAGTCTGAAACAGACCATCAAGTGGTCGTTTCCTGGAGGACATGGAGTACATAAGTATCCTTGTCATTGAGTGAAATTTCCAATTGCTACTTTGAGAGAGAAATGTGTTTACTCATGGAACATGTTCTCAGAATCTCAAATTCTGGAGGTCCTCATACATTAGTGGAGAAATGGGGGAAAAAACCTTGTAGGAGACAAAAGAATAAACTCTGAAACTACCACATTTCTTCTAGTAATGCATTTTCAGTCACCTAATAATCATGGGCTGGGTGGTAGTTCAGTTTCCCATAAAAACTAAAAATGAAAACAGCCGTGTCAGTGCCAGGGCACAGGAGAATAGGCTCTCCCTTTGTCCACCCAAGGCCATCCTTTACAGACAGTTCCATGGATAAATTAGGTGCTCATAAAAGGACAGAAATGCAAATATACCAAATAAAGCAAAGGCTGCCAACTGATTCTTTGCTTTTAACAATGGGAATGGACACAAACATTGAGGTAACTGCCGTGCATGGTTTAACAAAAGCTTACAGACAGGAGTCTCAATAGGACCAATAAAGCATCTGCAACAGCATGGATTCAACTACTAAGAGTCTACACAGAAGTATTTACATTTTATATAACAAAGCACCCAACATAAGAACCTGATAGTTTTATTCATATTTTCTTTCCAGTAATCATCTCTGTTGTCATGTTAGGTGCTTTTACAATCAATGAAACCATCTAAAACTTTCACAAACCACTCAAGCCTAAGAGAAAAGAATAGAGCACCTCTCCTAAGCACTGAGAGAGCTCTTCTTTTCTCTAAGAGCATGAGGGCTGTGTGAGCTCTGAGACTTGTGTTCTTACAGCCTAACAAATCCTACCAAGAAGAATTTCCTGAGAGCAAACATTAACCCTCTTTAAAAGAAGACAGTCATCTTTCTTATGATTGACGGGACTTGCACACTGCTGTCCCGAAGTCCCAGGTGTTACCTTCTGGCTGACTGGGCTCAGACAAGGAACTGTGCTTCCGCAGGCCTGGGTTTCCTCCTCAATAGATGGCCACACAAAGGATGCCTCTCAGACTGCTTGAGAGATTAAATTATGTACCATGTGTGCTGGTGTCCAGTGCACTGCCTGGCACACAGCGGGTGCTCCAATGCCGAGAAGATCAAAAATCAAATAGGATGATCGATGCAAGATTATATTACTAATCATATGTTGTTCAGCAAGGATAAGACTGATCCACAACCAAGTCATAATACTGAATTTCCTTGATATCTAGGCCATCTGACGTACCACGTGGTGGTCATTTGCAAACGTATTCTATTTACTCTCCTAAATTTCTGGCGGTGAGGAACAAGATGTGGCTTATGTGGCAATCACTGCCTTGGACCCAGTTATGGGTAAGATTGCTAGGGGCTTGATTGTTGTCCTCAGAGCCCCACTCAAGACCATGGTGGCATTAACCATTAAAAGCAATCCTACTTCTTGGACCCTAAATCAAGCATTCTAGCCTTCTCCCTCTTCTGACCATTTCATCTATCCTTCATATGCAAATGGCTCAGGACAGGCCTTGCACATTCCAGGCCTGCTGTCCAAGCTTCATGCTTTTTATAGAAATCTAAGTTTACTAAGGGACTGATACATATTGCCATTTCATATTCACTCATTCATTCATTACTTCATTCATTCTTCCACCATTATTGATATGTACCTACGAACTGTTCTAGTACTGTGGAAATAGTAGAAATTTAGACAAAGCCAGGGGCCGGCCGAGTGGCTCAGTTGGCTAAGAGCTCGCTCAAGAGTTTGAGCTCTGAGCAACAGCGGTTCGATGCCCAGCCTGAGCTGAGCTGCCACTGATCCACCAACAGGTGGCAGGATGGCTCAGCTAAAAAAAAAAAGTCAAAGTCACTGATTCCATGAAAATTTAAAAAATAACAAACCTGACCCGAGTAGGTCTGGAGTGACAGGAGCTGAGAAGGTTGGAAGGATCACTCCATCTGCTATGTAAGTAAGGAACAGGCAGGGGCAGAGCAATGGACAATGGCAGCCCCAGAGAACTCTTAAACACTCCTGAAATGTGCCAAGCTGCTTGGAGAGCCTCTAGGAGAGTAGTTGAGTGGCAGTGATGAGAAGAGGCGGCTCTGGTATATTGTAAGGTAAAGGATTTGCTGATGGGGCAGATGTAGACTGTAAGACAAAGGCAGCATAAAGGACGTCTCCAGCAGCTTTGCCCTGAGTGAGTGCATGAATAGAGGTGCTATATACTGAGATGGAGATGGGTGTGGAAAGAGCAGACGTTGGACATGTGTAGTTTGAGATGCCTATTAATACACCCGAATGGACCTGTCAGCTAGGCAGCAAGTTGAGTG